TATGTTGTCAGTCTTTCCCACCCATCTATCCTGCATGCTATCTAGATACATCAGCATTGAAACATATCTATGTCCAGCACATAAGCATATTTTTCTGTGGGCTAACTGGAAAGTGCACTGAATTTTCCTTGAGAATTGCCCAAGGCATGGGTCATGTTACCCTTTGGAACTCTTGTGAAGCTGCAGCTAAAATTACAGTTTGTCTTTTATTTTGAGGTTAAAAAACACATTAGATGTTAATTATTAATCCAGAGGAGCTCTGATCCTTGCTATTAATAGCAAAGTAGCTGATATATAATAAAGATTGTATACTTTAGCTTCTAAAATTAGTTCAGTTTGAAAAACATACCACTGCTGCTATTACTATTTTTGTAAAGTACATTCCAAGAAACAGAAGGCTGCGTTCTGCCCTGGCATCACACTTGCTTCAGGCTAAGACATTTCCTGCTCAGATAGGCTGGCTAGCTGTAATTGCACCATTCTGTGGCTCTGGTCTGTGCAGGCTGCATATCACACAGTCTGTGCTGCTGATAGCAGCAGTTGATCCAACATTTCCTCTCATATCAGGCGTTTGTGAAGGTGCCAGGTGTATGTGGTGATCTGTAACCTTGTAATTACCCAAAGACACTTGCAACTGGAAATGAGTTAACACGTTTCCTTCCCAGAGCTAATGAGAAGATCAAGGAGAAATTCTCTCTTCCTCCTACTCCATTTTCTTTCTTTATCCTGCCTGGGCTTGCACCAGACCCATGCTGCACAGCAATCACTGGGAAGGAGTGAAAAGCTATGATTTCCCTCCCATTTCATTTACCATTGAGTTAAGGTATCGTTCAGTTTTACATAAAAATCATTTCATTCACTTGATTCTGATAACTCTCCTCACACTGAGTACCCACTCTCTCTATTGAATTAAATGGTATCATATGTCCAAAATCAGACTTTAACATAAAGAAATGTTCTTGTGGTGTATTTACTGAGCTCTTAAGTATATCACAGGACAAGAAAATACCCATTAGTGGTTACATCAACAGTATGCTGCTGTAACATCAGCAGGATACTACGAGAGCATCACAGGCGTTCTTATTTTCCCCAAGATGAATGCAGCTCTGTGAATTGTGCCATGAAAATCTCAGTCAGGTGCCCAAGAGAAGCCAACTTGTGAAGTCTGCTTTTCTTCCAAAATATGTTAGTACTGGAAAAAAAGCTGGACTACCTCAGTGGATGACACCATCACAGCTGTCACAAGGCCTTTCTGGCACCTCATTTCCCCTTTAACAAAGCCAGTCAACTAGCACTGCTAGTTGACAAAACAAAACTAGAAAAGTTCTGAATTGCAGTTTCTCAGGCCCAAAGAACAGATTCAACTAGAAATACTAAGCAAACACCAGCCAGAATGTCACATTGCATGGCTCTTTCAGCCTTCCCACACAAAGTGTTATTTTACTTCCTTGCAGTAGCAAAAGAAGTTGAATTCAGGTCTCCCTATTTAAGGCAGGTGCTCACAACCCGAAGTTGCTGGAAAAAAAAAGCAAAGGGTGGGGAAAGGACTTCTTTCCTCCTCTGCATTAGTTGCTAAACCAATTTGTCCTTGAGAAGACCTGCACAAACAGACTGCAGAGAGCATGGCAACAGGAAGAGCTGATTTTGGGTATCTCCTGAGACAGAGGAGAGAGCAGGATTCCAGTTTGCTACGCCAAGTGTAAAGGAACTCAAACAGAATATTGCACAGCTAGCAATATGAATCAGCATCCAAACCCAAATTGCCATTGGGAGTTGGGAGTGGAGTTTTCAGAATCTAAGTTGAGAAGTTGATACTTTCATCCCTTTTGTGAATTTAGCTGGTATTAGCAGCTATCCATGTAATTTCAAATCTAATTTATCACCAGCAATCTTCATTTTTCAAGGGAAATCTATGCATCCCCTTCAGATTAATTCTCTCACCCAAGGAGGGAGCTCAAGCAGAAAGCCATGGAGAACACTATTAAGAGAAGTAAGCGCTGGGAGAGAAATAAGGAGTATTGTTGTGGAGAAACGACAATTATCTTGAAATATATAAATCACAGCTCAGTTCAAGCAGGGTATATTCAGACTTTTCATGATTTACAGCACTCGAGACAGGCCTAAAACAAGGGAACACATTTTTCACAACAGTTCTGATTTTCAAATGAGAATGAGAACTCTCAAACACCAAAAGTAAACTGTGAAGTGACTCCGATGTTCCTCTGTTTCTGAAGTTACTGCCCATACTGTTATAGCAGAAGCCCCAACTACATAATCTTGTAGTGAAAAAGAAAATCCATGCTTCAAGCAGACTGTTTCTCTGTGCCAAATAGTGTTGCAAAATGCAGCCTGATGAGATCTCTGCTATCACTCACACATCTCACAGACTCACTGTTTGGCAGCTTTCTTCCTGCTGGTTCATAACAGTTTTCCCTAAGATACACTAGTTTGCACTGCCCAAGGTCAATCTCACCAAATATGCTGCCTGAATTTATAACCACTCTTTGATAACTGGCACTGCTGCTCTCACTATTTGGGGGGGCATCTCTGAGCCCACAGCACTTTGCAGTCCAAGATTCCATGTAAAGGAGTATCACTTCTATTTTATTAAACTGTCAGTCCATATAGCACATGCAATATCACAAACATTTGTTCCACAAATAATTTTTTACGAGATTTTTAAAGTTTGCTTACTGAGATGCAGATTCTGTCAGTCTGACAAATCAAGCAATTCTATTATCATTATTTTTTATAACTGAAGCTGCTTCATCATACACTCATGGAGCTCAGTCCTGCTTCTTTTACTTACCCAAACAGTTCCAGTGGCATAGCTTATGAGAATGTTAAGAATTTGGCCCCGTATACCCATTTAACCCTATTTTTAAAAAGCACTGATATCTGCCATCTTCTAACCTGTAATGGCTAACATGATCTCTGGAGGGTGTTCAGCACTTATGTGTCAGTGAAAATAACAGTCAGTACGCATTAAATATTCATAATAGCACCAACAGATCACAAAACTTCTTTAAGGAGTCACTCAGATTTCCAAGAGGAGCCTGGGTGGTGACAGATCTGATCACACGTCCTGTACTTTGACTGTTCCTACATGGCACAATGCACCCTAAGATATCTCACCCTGTCTAGCTGCTTTCACTGTAAGGAAAATTAATAACAAAAGCATTTTAGTTGCTTTTTTTTTTACTGTGGTTCTCTAATCTTCAGATCTTCAAAGCAGAGACAAACTCTCTAGTCTGCCCCACAGAGAAGGGGCTGTAGCCCCTCTCTAGGACTGTCCAACATAGCCAGTGCAGCCTTACTACAGGTTTCAGCTGTCTGCAGTGCAAGACCTAGTTCTGATAGCAGCAGCTCTGAGAAACTTCTGAAAAAAATAAGTAGTGAGAAAGAACTGCAGAGAGAAAAGTACACGGAGTCATGTGAGATAAGAAAAAAAAATAATGCTGAAACGTGGATAGCTAACAGTTCAAGGATTCAAAAGGAAAAAACACTGATATTAAAACGTGTAAAATCCTAAGAGAATAAAACAAGCGGCCGGAGGATGGCTACTCTGCAACAACCAGCCCATTCCAAGGACGGCAAAGACATTTCCCTGCATGACTGACACCTGGTGGGCCAACAGAGACCTGCTGCTTCACAGGAAAGCCTCTTCACGAAATGTCACCTTCAGGGCCTCCCAACTTAGAATCATAAAAACATGGAATCACTGAGGTTGGAAAAGACCACTGTGATCATCAAGTCCAATCTCCGACCCATCATCACCACTCGCACTAACCATGTCCCTCGGTGCCACATCTGCATTTTCTTGAACACTTCCAGTGATGGTGACTCTACCACCTCCTGCGGCAGCCCATTTCAATGCATTACCACTCCTTCTGACAAGAAATTTTCTCCAACTTGATAGGTTTCTTTTAGGTGTGAAACTGTAAAAACCATGAACTTTTAACTACTGGTTATCAAATGCCAGACCAGACAACCTCTAGTTTGTCGTAAACTTTTATTCCTCACTGAGGATATCAGCCACATGATTTAGTGCTGAAGTGAGTAATGAAATGCAATATACTGTGGGATACTTTCGGAGCAGGGAATCATCATTTCTGAATCATCTTGATGTAAAGATCTTGGATACTGCTGAGAAGACCTGAGAATCAAAGGAAGTAGCTCAGATCTGCCAAGTAACTGATGGAGAGTTCATTCTTGTGAAAAAAGCAAGAGGAGAATCTGTAAATGCAGGAATTATAAGGCCCCTGCTACTTAAATTATTGAGGCCACTAATTAAGAATACATTAGTGATAATTATGCTGCATTGATGCCTTGACAACTGTAACTTTCTGATGGAATGTAGTAAACTGACATAAAAGGCACCTCCTTTCTTCCCTCTCTGTAACAGAAAGAAACTAACAGAAAGCTTTTCTCTAACTTCCACACAAAGATTACAGTCAGAACACAATTAAACCCAAGAAGACAGTACTGAAGGAGTTGATAAAGATACGAGCAACAGGGTTTTCAGACCTAAATTCTCCATGTGATTTCAGTATACACAAATGAAGAACCTCCATTTTACTTCAAGTTATATGAGGGAAACTTGAAAGGACTGTCTCAGGATGAGACCTTAGAGGAATAAAGAAGAGACTGGCAGCTTGAAGCACACAGTGATCCGGCAAACTGCACAGCTTACAGATCCTTCACCAGCTTGTGAAACCTTAATAAGCACTTTATTAGAAAATTTCTTTAAAATTATTATTTTTTTAAGCAACGCAAACATTTATGGCAGTCTGATAGCATGTCAGTATATAACAAAACTCATTTCTCGAACTGCTGAAGACATACGAAGGTCAGCTTTGTGTTGAGGTGGCTTTGAGTCATTTCTGTTTGCAGAAGATGGAATCTTACACCGAGGAGAACTACGTACCTCTTACGGTGTTGACAAGAAGTGCTAAAGAGACATCAGTCACTCAGTGCAAATAGCAGCGGGGAGGCGACTGCTATCACTGCCGGCTACTCTGCTTCCTTTACTGCTTCCCATCTGACATTTCTTATCTGGCACGTAGGAGATTTTCTTTATCCATGAGGCTGCACTGCAGAGCTGGTGTACACTGTAGCTGGTGACCTCGCATGGGCAGCCTGTACCACAGCACTCAAGCACATTCTCCACGGGCATTTTATGCCCTTCCTGGAGCTCAGCGTGACGGTGGGGAAAATCAGGTGAGTATTTAACAGGGCTGGAAAATAATTTCCAACCGGGCAAACCGAGACGGATGAACGACGACGGACCGCACCGTCAGTAAGCGTTCGAGTGCCCATTTTGAGGCTTATTTCTTTCAAGCGTCCTCCCACAGCGCGTTAACGCAGGAACACCTCAGCGCCTCAGCGGTGCGGCGGGCAGGACCCCGCGTGAGGGGAAGGGCGCTCCGCGCAGCCCCGCGCTCCGCCCGCCGAGCCCCGCAGCGCCGCCAAACGCCGCGGGCGGCCGCGCCCCCCCGCCAGGCACTGAAAAAGGCCGGAGCGCGGAGCCGCGCCGCTCACAGCCCGCCCGCCGCCGGCCGAAGGTTGCGGCCCCTCAGCGACGCCATGACCGTGCTGAAGCTGTCCCTCGTGGCTTTCAGCTTCGTCTTCTGGGCGGCGGGGCTGACCATGCTCGTCGTCGGCCTCTGGGCCGAGGTGCGGCTGGGAGGCTACTTGGCGCTGTCGGCCGGCGACACCCCCGGCGCCCCCGCCATCCTCCTGGCCACCGGCACCGCCGTCATGGTCTGGGCCTTCCTGGGCTGCTTCGGCGCCGCCGTCGAGCACCGCGGCCTCCTGCGCACCTACGGCGCCTTCCTGGCGGCCGTGCTGTTGGCCGCGCTGACCGCGGGGCTCTCGGCCCTCGTGTACCGCCAGGACATCGCGCGGGGCTTCCGGGAGGGGCTGCGCCAGGCCGTGAGCGCTTACGGCGAGGACGAAGGGAAGGCGGACGCCCTGGACGCTTTGCAGCGCGCGTTGGGCTGCTGCGGTGTGGAGAGCTACCGGGACTGGCTCGCCTCGCCCTGGGCGCTCCAGCAGAACGCCTCGGTGCCGCTCAGCTGCTGCCGGGCCCGGCGGGGCTGCCCGCTCAGCCCGGCCGGCGCACGTGGCCTGCACCCGGAGGGCTGCTTCGGCAAGGTCTTGGCCTTTGTCAGCAGCAACATGTTCTGTGTTGCCACCGCTGCCCTGGGGCTGGCGGTGCTGCAGGTCGTTGGCATCGTGCTGGCATGCCTGATGGCTGCCCGCGTCCCTGCTCGCGTTACTGCCCCGCACTGAGACCTCCCCAGGTCTGGCCCTTGTCACCTCCTGCTCCCTTCCTGCCCCTGGATCTGGGAGATCTGAGTGCACCCCATCTGGAAGACCTCTTCATCGTCCCCATTTCACCCTTCTTCACGTTCTGTTCCTCTGCTGCAGCCTGTGTCGGATATGACAACACCACAGGTATCTCCACGGCCCCTTGGAGCTACCTCCTATCCTGGCTGTGTCCCTGTGCGACAGCAGGTTTCCACTTCCCTCCGGAGCCTCTGGGCACAGAGTGGAGAGTGACAGCATGGACAGACATCACCCTGTTGGGTCAGATGGAAGCTGGGTGACAGCTGAGCAGGTGTCTGGGTGATGTGAACAGACAGAGATACTGAAATGGAAGCAGGAAAGAGGAGAAGGCCTGTGGGAGCAATGCAGACATCTCAGCATTTTATTGTGTGCATGTTCTGAGACCAGGAGCTGCTGGAAGATCAGTGTCACTGGAATACTGGAGTGCACAAATGGCATGTGGGGTCTGGGTAGGTCTGGGGACAGCCTCTGAGGGCTGCTTGTGCTCCCTGCAGCATGGACCACACCACCGTGCTTCACTCTAGTGAGTTCCTTGCAAAGATGTCCAGGTCTAGACATTTCCAGCCTAGGAATTATGAACGTAGCTAGCAAACCTGTAGAGAATTAGGTAAATGCCAACAAATGATAGCTGGAAAGGAAATCGTTAGTAACAGCTTGGGAGGGGAGAGTGGAGTTTCGCAGGGCAAAGGGGTTTAGCAATAGGGCCCAAGTAAAGAATGCACAGGAATGGAGAGTGAGAAAAACTAGACTTCATGGAAGTAGGCTTCTGGGATTTTATGACAGTGTTCCTGGGATGAAGCCAGGGCAAAACTTGTATTTAACTCCCAAAGATTCTGATTTTAGGTATTTTCACTATTTGTAATTGTGAAAATTGTGTGTAAAAATATCTGGAAATGCCACTATTTCTGTCTTTTGTGGTAACGAAGCCCTTTTCTTGCTCTCTGCCTGTTTCCTTTTGTTTGAAAGAGGGACTGATTGGTCAGTTCTGTGATGAATTTGTCCAGTCTGTAGAACTGTAATTGTTTCTGACCTGGTGACAGTACTGTAATTTGGCCTGTTAATGACAGCCTCCCACCACATGAACTGCTATCATAAAGGTGCAATAGTTCTGTAGAGCAAAGCAAGCTGATGGTAGGGACTGTTGAAAAATGGTGCTTTATGGGTGAGAATTTGCTATGTCAAACAGTGTTATTTTGCTGTTTGTATCTGTTGTATTTTCCATGGAAATAAATAGGAGGCAGTACTTTCAGAGAGACCTGCACACAAGCAAAATTCTGCAAGGACCAGGGAATATCCAGTACTCTCGAGTGTTGCAGACTGCTTTTGCTGCTGGAGTCAGCAGTCCTCAGAGTCAGTTCTCTTGATCAAAGAATACAAGATCAAAAATATAAAAAGAGAAATTAGGTTCTGTCCTGATGATTTATGTGTTTAACAGTGTTAGGAGGAGTAAGATGCCCTCATCAGGAAGGTTTTCAGGGCTGTGCCTAAGTCACAGAGGTCTGTAGTATGCCTTTTGGGTGGGCTGTTCTAGTCAGCATGGATGGGTGGAGCTTACAGTAGTGGGTTAACACTTATGTTGTGCCTGAGCGTTAGTCGTGGTTTTGTGTACCTTCCAATTGCTCAGCTGTCAGGTGGCTATGTTAAGTAGCATGATAATTGGGTTCCAGGTAATGAGTGCAATGTAAACAGGTTTCTTAGCCATTTGACAATTCATCTGCATAGATGAACTCTGGATATGTGCTGGGAATTTCTCTTTTTAGAGCAAAAGTTTCATTCTTTTTTTTTTTTTTCTGAATTGTTTCTTGTTTTAAATAATTTAATTGCCATTGTTGTTTATGAATGTCCCTGTACTAACATGTTTTTGATGTTTTTTTGGAGCTAGGCACTAATGGAACTCTGCTGTTTTCTGAAAAATCACTGTCATTTTGTAAAGTCTTAGCAGTGTGCAAAAAGTGTAATTTGCCTGAGGAATGGTACTTCAGAAATAAAGTAATGTTACAAGCAATGCAAGTCACTGTCTGAATCCAACTCAATACTTTGTGTGTGTCTCTGCATCGTTCAAGTGCAAGAAAATGAAGTGTACATTGAGATGCAGAGACAGAATTATTTTTATTATTCAGAAAAATAAACAGTAAAGCAGAGATTATGGGGGATGTTGGCAAGGGACATGGAGTTGCCCTGTATTTATGAGCACTGTCTTCACCTGAATCAGTAACCTTGGAAAGTTACAAGAATGTTGCTCAGGTCTTTTTTAGCACCACAGGTTGCTCAGTTATTTCTGATGTTGATCCAGATTGCATGGTAGGACAAGCAACGAGCAGTCGGAACGAAGGATGCTGCTGAAACCTGCTTGCTCTAAAAACTTGTGTTGATATCCCACTTCAGGGCATGTTTTGTTTTAAGCCGTTTGAAGAAGTTTGAAACGAATAGGAGTGACAGGAGCCAGCTTTTAAGCGAACCACTGCGTGTTTGTGTGGTGGCCAGGCCTGACTGTCAGGACATCACATTAATGTGATGAATAGCTGAAAATGGAAACCGCTCTACACGTGGTCTGCTCTCACTGGAGGAGGAGAAACCTTGGCACGTGTTCACAGAAAGGTTACATATCATTGTAACACTGCAGACATCACAGAGTGGCTGTGAGGTCTCCTTGGCTGTTTATTGCTAGTTCAAGAATAATCAATCACAACATTAACTTTTGTAGATGAATGGGAGAAATGTCATTCTTTTCTAACTAACTCCCAGATGAGCAGATTCCCAGAAGCTGTTAGGGTTGTCTCAGTTTTTTCGTGCTCAGTGACCAAATTTTAATTTAAAAAATGTTTTAGATTCAGTCTTATTTTTGTTCTGAATGGTCAGAACAGCTGTAAGTGGAAAATGTTAAAGCGGAGGCCCCATTCAGGCCTTGATGCAGTATGCAGTTGTCTTCTGTCATCCTCTGAGCAATTACTTAGACTTTAAGAAAGCCCGATCCCATCTTTTACAACTACATTTGATCAATTAAAAAACATACCAAAATGGGGGCAAGCTGTGTTGCAAGTGTAGAAACAACAGTGCTGTTGTTTGGACCAACTGAGATTTAGGATTAGCAGTGATAAGATTAGACGCCTGTTATGAAACAAGGACTATTTCCTAACAGTGATCAAAAATACGACTAGCAAATTTCACAGCTGTTTTGATCTTTTGCCTTACATCAGTTGCTCAGTGTACTTGTGTATCACTGAGTTCCACTTCACAGATAGCTGGAATTAAAAATTAGCTTCTTAATGGACTGTGAACCTCAAAAAGAGGTGGTGTTCTTGGGTCTCTTTCTCATCGCATCCTAAATTGTGTCTCAAACAGCTGACAAAAGAAAAGTTGGAAGAGGCCAATGTAATTTGCTGAGAAACCAGTGAAACTCTATGAAGCAGTAACAATATGAAAGAACATAATGTCTGCACACTATCAAGCAAGATTTAAGCACACATTTTCAGAAGCCTTAGATTTACTGATCAAATATGTGAGTTTGCACATAAACCACTGACAGAAAAAAAAAAGGAGCTATTGAAGCATCATAATGTTCTGTCCACATGGGCTCTCATTTGCAGCAAACACTACTGCCTGTTGTTAATGATCTTAATCCGTGCAATAGAATTTAGTCGAGACTCTTATCTGGGCCACAGGATTAAAGTTATCAAAGTAAGCATTATTTATTATTATTACTATTTCAAATGTTCTAATTATTCTAGAAAGATTTTTTAGAGCAATTTCTGTGAAGCTTTGCTTCTCCCATTCTCCTGTTGTGCTAATGTCTAGAGTTCACAGAATCACAGAATCACAGAATGGCCAGGGTTGGAAGGGACCTCAAGGGTCATGAAGCTCCAACCCCCTGCCACATGCAGGGCCACCAACCTCCATGTTTAATGCTAGACCAGGCTGCCCAGGGCCCCATCCAACCTGGCCTTGAACACCTCCAGGGATGGGGCATCCATAACCTCTCTGGGCAGCCTGTTCCAGCACCTCACCACTCTCTGGGTAAAGAATTTCCCCCTAATGTCCAACCTAAATCTCCCCTCCCTCAACTTAAAACCATTTCCCCTCGTCCTACACATATCAACCCTTTCAAAGAGTTGATTCCCCTCCTCTTTGTAGGCTCCCTTTAGGTACTGAAAGGCTGCAATGAGGTCACCTTGCAGCCTTCTTTTCTCCAGGCTGAACAAACCCAGCTCCTTCAGCCTGTCTTCATAGGGGAGCTGCTCCAGTCCCCTGATCATCTTTGTGGCTCTCCTCTGCACCCTCTCCAACAGCTCCCTGTCATTTTTGTACTGCGGGCTCCACACTTGGACGCAGTACTCCAGATGGGGCCTCACAAGAGCAGAGTAGAGGGGGACAATCACCTCCCTGTCCCTGCTGGCCACCCCTCTTCTGATGGAGCCCAGTTGTTCTTAGGCCTCTTAGTACTGTTTGGTACCAGCATTTTAAAATGGTAAGTTGTGCTCTGTAATAAAACCTTGGGAAAGGAATCTCTCCTGTTTAGTGTTCATCATTTCTGGTAGGTCCAGTTCTTCCAGCTCACAAGGGATGGAGGGCAGGGAGTATCTCTGGTCAGTTCTAGGACTGACTGGAGTCTTGGGATTGACAATATCTTGTCCTTAATACCCATGTTAGTAAAAATAGTCTTAATGATTTCTTACTATTCAGAGTGCATTTTCCATGGCCTTTCCTGTGCTTTTTGATTTCTTGACTTTAGACAGTGCTGTGTTGGGTTACTGCTACCTTTTAGTAATTTACAGCTGACTAAAATGGTAGCATCGGGAAAATGTCCTCTGCAAGAAAGTGTTCTGCTTTCTGTGTTTTCAGCATTCCTAACACTATATAAAGGAAATCTCTCTAGGTAACGCATGTCTTTTCTGTTGCTTTTAGATTTTGTTGTTGTTGTTTATTGAAATGATGATACTTCCACATGATAAAGATCCCTTTGTAGGACCAGAACAGTGGTGTCCCTGCTGCTCATGCTGACCCCTGCTGTGCTGAAGGCACTTCTGTAGCAGCTCAGCGCTGCGAGAGGATTCTCTGAGCAGAATTTGGGGCTCATCAGCACTCCAGTTTCCTGAAACTGCTTTTTTGATAAGATGTTTTCCTGGATAACTGTGCTGGAGTCCTGTTCCTTGCCATAGCGTGCTTTTCTCCTCAGAACCTCCAGGCTGTGTTGTTCTTGCCAAGGAACTGCTGGAGGAGGTGGAGGCTGTTTGCATTAGCACCGTGAGTTTTGATGCAGAGTTCAGACAAATAATCATAAAAGGAAAACATGATTTCACAACTAAATATGCTTATCTCATGGCTGGAGACAGGTCTGTTCACTGAAGCTGGTGTAGAAAACAGCAGGCTGACTAGGGAAGAAGCAGAATTCTGAAAACAGCTGCTCTACCTCTTTACAGGAATCTGTAGTTCTGGGCAAAATTTCTCTGTGACACTGTTGTCTCAGTAACTTGTTTCTGGAGCTGACTGACTTTGCCTTCAAATCCTGTCCTATTTTGATAACCCATGAAGAAGTTGCAAAACATCCCACAAGTGTAGCATGCTCACACTTTCCTGTCTATTTTGCCTTTCCACATTTCTACTGCTTCTTTTCTTTTTCAGAGAGTGCTTTTTCTATAATGGTCTCTCAGTTAGGTTTCAGCAGCCTTCTAGGTCCCTCGAACCAACTCCTCTTTCTTCTGCACAGCTTCCCACCCCAGGAGTCAGACAGTCTTTCCAGATCCGAGGTGCTGGTTGGATTGGTTTTTGAAAAGAAACCTCCATCTGCTGGTTTTAAGTAGCAGCAGCTTTCTAACCCTTAGCAGTCACCTGAATGTTTTTTAATCCTATGAAAAATCTGGCAGAAAGTCACACTTCAACACATTTTCAGAGAGCTGTTTTTCTATGAGATGATATTTGTTTCTTATCAAAACAAAAGTGTACCACATACCCTGGTTGTTGGCTTGTTGGTTGAGTTTGTTGTTGCTGTTGGTTTGCTGAAATGATAAAACTGTGAAATTTGAGTAGAAGCTAAATTTAAGGAAATGAAGTGTCTTTGGCACCAGCTGAAGTGATTAATAAATGTAGGTAATTATGTTTAGAAGGTACCACTGAGGGAGCTCATCAGCAAATAAACTTGTCAGTGGATGTTTTTCAGAGAATGTGGAGGCAGAATTCAGATCTTCCAGATATATTCCAGACTCCCAGAAATTCATCTTCATGGCTTGAAAACAGCACAGAGATTAATTTTAAGTCACCTGATAGAAGTCATTGAAATGTATGCCCACTACTAAATTAACTGCTTACTACAGCTCTCCCTAATGAATAGAAACCACAGAATCACAGAATGGCCAGGGTTGGAAGGGACCTCAAGGATCATGAATCTCCAACCCCCTGCCACAGGCAGGGCCACCAACCTCCACGTTTAATGCTAAACCAGGAAATGGAGATGAGTGCTGTTTTGAAGCTTTCTGTCACATATTGTATACGTTATGCTTCCAGTTTGTCAGGACATCATCCTTTATTTCCAGTCTGTATGATGTTCTTTGTGTCCCTGTGACGTTCACATTTATTTATGACTCAATTTCTAGCTCAAGTCACTTGTCATCATGTTCTTTTCCTTTTGGAGGAGGCGTGGCAGCAGTGTTGAAACACCATTCTTTCCTTGCAAGTTGATACAGTGAAATTTCTCCAGTGCTTACTGTATGTGTCACTCTTAAATAAAAAAAAAAGGCAGTGCTGTTTTACTTCAAGCTTACACTGTGCAGTATCTTGTTTGAATCAAATTTATAGTATAAAACACAAATTAATCTTGTCCACAGAGCCTTCTACCATATTAAAAATCATTGCCTTTTTTTTCTGAGTTTGCTCATCTAAGCTTTATGAATGTAATTCCCCCAATGTTGGTTCCTCCCCAGTTGTTAATTATGAATCTGCAACCAGGATGCTGCCGTCAGGTCCTTAGCTGTGACACTTCTGGGAACTGCATTTCCTTTGTTCTTCACCGTA